GGAGGCGCTGGAGCTGGAGGTGCTGCTGCTGGAGTCGCTGGAGCTGGAGGTTCTGGAGCTGCTGGAGGCGCTGGAGCTGGAGGTGCTGCTGCTGGAGTCGCTGGAGCTGGAGGTGCTGCTGCTGGAGGCGCTGGAGCTGGAGGTTCTGGAGCTGCTGGAGGCGCTGGAGCTACTGGTACTGGTGGCACTGCAGCGTCGCGACTGTTTTTCGCTCCGTCGTCACCTTCGTCTCTGCCACCGCCTGACTCCGTGCTTCGCCAGGTTCTTAGCCTCCCGTCTTCTACTGGCCTCCCCGTTACAGCCCGGCGCACCACTACCTGCTCCTTCTCCTTACACTAAGCAGACAGACTCGCTTACAGAGTGTCGTGAGCCTGCGTCTCGTCCTGCCTTGCCTGTTCGCGGTGCGTCGCACTGGTCGTCGTGTTCCTCGTGAGCGTCCGCCTCCTGTCCCTGGCATGCACGCTATGGCACTTCATCCTTCCTCTGTTCCACAGCGTGTTACCCTACCGTCTCCTCCTACGTCTTCTCTGCCTGACGTTCAGGACCCTGAGTCTGACCTGGTTCGTGCTGCTCACCCTACTGTCACGTGTCTGCTCGCCACTGTTGTCACTGACCCATCCTTTGAGTCTGCTGTTGCGCCTGCCTTAGTCTCTGAGCTTCTTGACTTTGCTGCGGCCTGTCGTCTAGACTACGCTGCTAGTCTTGCTGCTGAGTCTGAGTCTGTCTATCCTCCGTTCGTCGGGGGTGAGTGTGCTCTTGGCACGGACGTCCTTGAGAACAGGCAGGAGGACTTTGAGTGTCTTGCAGCCGCTGCGCCTCATCTCATGGCCATGCTGCTTGCCCCTGAGGGAGACCCGGATGCACCAGACATCCTGACTCCGCGTTCTTACGCTGAGGCGATCGCGGGTCCCTACTCCTCTCAGTGGCAGACAGCCATGGACGCAGAGATGGCATCCTGGAAGTCCACAGGCACTTACGTCGATGAGGTTCCCCCTCCTGGGGCGAACATCGTCAATGACATGTGGATTTTCAGGGTGAAGCGGCCGCCGAGTTCTCCGCCTAACTTCAAGGCTCAATACGTTGCACGAGGCTTTAGTCAGCGACAGGGAGTTGACTTCTTCCAGACCTTCTCCCCCACCCCGAAGATGACCACTCTTCGGGTGCTGCTGCACGTTGCCGCTCAGCGTGACTACGAGCTTCACTCTCTGGACTTCAGCACAGCGTTCTTACAGGGCAGTCTGCACGAGGAGATCTGGCTGCGCCGCCCACCTGGCTTCACTGGGTCGTTCCCTCCTGGTACCCAGTGGATCCTCCGTTGGCCAGTCTACGGTCTCCGTCAGGCGCCACGTGAGTGGCACGACACACTATGGACGACACTTGCGGCTCTTGGGTTTGCCCCTTCCACTGCTGACCCGTCGCTGTTTCTACGCACCGACGCTTCACTGCCGCCGTTCTACATCCTCGTGTACGTCGACGATTTGGTCTTTGCCACTGCTGACACTGAGGCTCTCGCCCTTGTGGTGTTGGAGCTGCAGAAGAGACACACGTGCACAGACCTGGGTGAGCTGCGTAGTTACCTGGCTTGCAAATCACCCGGGACAGAGCACGCCGCACCATCACCCTGACTCAGTCACACATGGTGCGGCAGGTCCTTCAGCGCTTCGGCTTCACTTGGTCCTCGCCACAGCCTGCTCCGCTGGCTACAGGTCACTCGCTCTCAGCTCCACCGTCAGACGAGTCCGTAGAGCCGAGTGGCCCGTACCCAGAGCTAGTGGGCTGCCTCATGTACCTGATGACCAGCACTCGTTCTGACCTTGCGTACCCTCTTGGCCCTCTAGCACGCTACGTGGCTCCTGGTAGGCACCGAAAGGTGCACATGGATGTTGCGAAGAGGGTACTGCGCTACTTGTGCAGTACATCGGGCATGGGGCTCGTGCTTGGAGGGCGGAGCTCAGTTGTCCTCACTGGACACTTAGACGCTTCTTGGGTTGACGACCTGGCTACGCAGCGGTCGTCACAGGGTTACACTTTCAGCCTTGGCTGCGGCTCTGTTTCTTGGCGGTCTACCCGCTCGTCTTTTGTTCTCAGCTCCAGTTGTGAGGCTGAGATCTACGCCACAGCCATGGCTGCACAGGACTTACGTTGGCTCACCTACCTGCTGACCGACTTGGGAGAGCGGCCTCGTTCTCCTCTAATTCTGTACGTAGACAACAAGGCCGCCATTGCCTTGTGTCAGGAGCACAAACTGGAGCACAGAACGAAGCACATCGCTCTGCGTTACTTCATGGCTCGAGAGTTGCAGCAGCGTGGTCAGCTTCGTCTTGCTCACGTGGCCACTCGGGCCAACACTGCTGATATATTCACCAAGGCACTTCCGTCTGGTGATCATCAGCGCTTCTGTACTATGTTGGGCCTTGTGCCTGTTTCGTCTCACTTGCTCACTTAGTGACTTTGCTTGTACTGTGATCTATATATATACCTGCATGCTTGCGCTTGCTAGGTAGTGATCACTTTACTGTTGTTGTTGCATATATACCTTTGCATGTGAACTGGCCTTGTGGCCCTTTGCTTGTGCTCGATTGTCTAGTGACGTTGTGATCTACCTCGAGCTTGCTTTGCTTTTCTTGACTGGTCTTGTGACCCCTTGTTCTCCCCCACTTTGCCTATGGGGGTGTGTCAAACTATATATGTGTTAGTTCTGTGTAGGCTATAGTGGGGTAGCTCATATGGGGTACTACCCGAAGTTAGGGGTTAGTTCTTGTACCCACATTTCATTCAATGCAACCATTCCTGCTTGCTATCTTGACACCGAAGGCGACGAGCGGGGAGGCGGCGAGGGCGACGGGCGAGGCGAGGGTGGTAGGCGGGGAAAGCGAGAGCGACGGGCGGGGGAAGCGAGGGCGACGGGCGAGGGAGGCGAGGGCGACGGGATGGGAGAAGCGAGGGCGGGCGGAGGAACGAGGGCGACAGGCGGGGAGGCGGCGAGGGCGACGGGCGGGGAGGCGGCGAGGGCGACGGACGGGGCGAGGGAGGTGGGCGGAGGTCGGCAAAGCGCTAATTTCTCATCTCCTCACGACCATTTTCTCCGTGCTTCACACTCGCATCTGGCGCCTGCGTTTCCCTTCCGTTGCACCTACTAATTCTGGTTGTGTGAATTGTGTTCACAAAAAATCCCTAGCAGGTGTGTGATGGTGGTATTCTAAAAGCGAGTGAATGAATTAGCTTGTTCTGTCATGCCGATTTTCTTGCTCTGCTCTAGCTCTCGGAGGTTGGTTAGCGGGTTGCGTGCGAAGTTTTTGCCTCATGGGAGAGTCGCATCATGTTTCGCTAACCTGCCACCTTTCGCAATTCCTCCGCACCTCATTTTGCCCGAACCCCAGACCTACCAAACCAAGCGTTGACTCAGTTTTTGTAATTCAGGCTTCGGGTTTTAATAGGACAGCACTACTATCCGGGGCGATACGGTACCGCTGAGCTGACACGTGGCGCTCACGGGGTACTACGGTATTTCTGGCTGTGTAGCTAGGTCCAGAAACTGATTTGAAGATGATCATTCCGAGATTGGGTGCTTGGGAGGACTACTGTCAGACTTGGGAGGACTACTGTCATTCTCTTCAACTTTCCACAAATGCCAATACAGCACAACAATCATTGATACCTCCAAAAATGGTACGGCGCTACATCGCTAAAGTCACTTGAAGTCGGGCTTCTCCGGGAAAGTGCATCCTGACCGTTGGATGATGACGTTGGCTGCGTAATTACCGGCGCGGATGCACTCGGCAATGTCCTTCCCCTGCACCAGCTGCGACAGGAAGCCTCCCACAAAGGAGTCGCCGGCGCCGTTGGTGTCCACCAGATCCTCCTTCTTCACCAGAATCACCGGGTGGGTCGTCACCTGCGTGTGCGAGGGACATGCAGAGTTGCCAGTGAGAGCTCACATATAAGAGCGAACGCAGGCGACCACAAACGGGTCACCGGCCCGGCTGGTGTCCACCAGATCCTCCTTCAGCTAATCACCGGGTGGGTCTGTCACCTGGTCGTGTGGACATAGATACACACAAGGGGTGCAGGAGACGGGTTGACAACACACATGCATGAGTGCACCCGGCTAGGTACAGGAAAGGGGCCTCATTGGTTATTCGTGAGTGCATCGGGTTAGGGCCATTATCTCCTTCCCCTGCACCAGCTGCGACGGGAAGCCCCCCATCAACGAGTTGCCTGCCCCATCAACGAGTTGCCTGCCCCATCAACGAGTTGCCTGCCCCATCAACGAGTTGCCTGCCCCATCAACGAGTTGCCTGCCCCATCAACGAGTTGCCTGCCCCATCAACGAGTTGCCTGCCCCATCAACGAGTTGCCTGCCCCATCAACGAGTTGCCTGCCCCATCAACGAGTTGCCTGCCCCATCAACGAGTTGCCTGCCCCATCAACGAGTTGCCTGCCCCATCAACGAGTTGCCTGCCCCATCAACGAGTTGCCTGCCCAATTGGTGTCCACCAGTTTCTTCTTCACCGGAATCACCAGGTGGATCACTGGCTGTATTGATAGAGCTAGGAGAGAGATGAGGCTAGGGAGGTTGATCTCTCTGGAAAGCATAAATAACAAATCATCACACCTCTTCATCTCTTCCTCACTTCAGTTACTAGCGTTGACACGAGAATATCACTCGACAGTTACACAATGCAGGCAGGCACAGCCAGGATCAGAAGGAACATCCTTGCTCACAGGGCAGGACACAAGCAAAGAACATCATTTCACGGCACAGAACAGATACAGCCTGCCCCAGGTACACCTTCCATTTAAGTGACAGAAACCATCCCATGGTACGGTGCAAACACAACTTGCCCCCCACGCACCTTGCCCCCCACGCACCTTGCCCCCCACGCACCTTGCCCCCCACGCACCTTGCCCCCCACGCACCTTGCCCCCCACGCACCTTGCCCCCCACGCACCTTGCCCCCCACGCACCTTGCCCCCCACGCACCTTGCCGTCGGTGGCGATGACGGTGTCGTCCTTGCCCTGCGTGATCACCACCACCCGCTTCCTCGCCTCGTTCACCTTCGGCAGCTCCGTCATCTTGAGCGCTATCTCCTCCACCTTCTCCGTCTGCTCACAGCCCGTGCGGTGAACAATGACGGAGAATAGGTAGCGAGTAGGTCAGGCTAAACCAGGTGAAGAAATGGTTGTGGAACCATGCTGTACTCTCCAGAGCGCTCATAAAAGAAAGAAAGAAAGAAAGGGAGAAAGAAAAAAAGAAAGCGAAAAGAACAAAGGACAACAGAAGACCATAACACATCATGCATCGTAAGCACGGCTTACGATTGAGTAGTGACACAAGAGACATGTCTTATGGTTAAGCCCCAGCACGCACCTCCCAGCCCCAGCGCGCACCTCCCAGCCCCAGCACGCACCTCCCAGCCCCAGCACGCACCTCCCAGCCTTGAACCTTGGCGAAGGTCTGCGCCTCAGTCTCGTTCCCAAACAGGTAGTCCACGTAGCTGCACGGGCGGGCATGGGCGGACATGGGCGGGTGGACATGGGCGGGTGGACATGGGCGGGTGGACATGGGCGGGTGGACATGGGCGGGTGGACATGGGCGGGTGGACATGGGCGGGTGGACATGGGCGGGTGGACATGGGCGGGTGTGGACATGGGCGGGTGGACATGGGCGGGTGGACATGGGCGGGTGGACATGGGCGGGTGGACATGGGCGGGTGGACATGGGCGGGGTGGACATGGGCGGGTGGACATGGGCGGGTGGACATGGGCGGGTGGACATGGGCGGGTGGACATGGGCGGGTGGACATGGGCGGGTGGACATGGGCGGGTGGACATGGGCGGGTGGACATGGGCGGGTGGACATGGGCGGGTGGACATGGGCGGGTGGACATGGGCGGGTGGACATGGGCGGGTGGACATGGGCGGGTGGACATGGGCGGGTGGACATGGGCGGGTGGACATGGGCGGGTGGACATGGGCGGGTGGACATGGGCGGGTGGACATGGGCGGGTGGACATGGGCGGGTGGACATGGGCGGGTGGACATGGGCGGGTGGACATGGGCGGGTGGACATGGGCGGGTGGACATGGGCGGGTGGACATGGGCGGGTGGACATGGGCGGGTGGACATGGGCGGGTGGACATGGGCGGGTGGACATGGGCGGGTGGACATGGGCGGGTGGACATGGGCGGGTGGACATGGGCGGGTGGACATGGGCGGGTGGACATGGGCGGGTGGACATGGGCGGGGTGGACATGGGCGGGTGGACATGGGCGGGTGGACATGGGCGGGTGGACATGGGCGGGTGGACATGGGCGGGTGGACATGGGCGGGTGGACATGGGCGGGTGGACATGGGCGGACATGGGGAAGGCACGCATGACAGGGCAGGCGTGAGAGGGTGGGCATGGGAGGAGAGGCATGGGAGGGAAGGCATGGCGGCGGAGGAGGGAGGACTGGTGAGTGAAAGTAGATTACTCAGGGACAGGAAAAGGAAGGGAGGCGGGGGTGCATGACTCACGATAAAGTGTTCATTAAAGGCCGCGTGAAGAACAGTGAAACGAGCGTAGATCACTCAAAGCAGGAGTTGGGAACGGAGGTGCGAGTAGGGCCATGGAGAAGTAGGGCGGGGAGGGGGTGCCTGACTCACGCGAGGGCGTGTGTGAGAGGCTGTGTGCGGCACTGGGATCAAGGTAGATTAGTAGATTACTCCGGGAAAGTTGTTTGGCGGAAGAAGAAGGTGTGCACGTGGGGATGGGCTGGTGCATGACTCACGGGAGGGCGTCCATGAGCGACTGTGTGAAGAACTGTGCGATGAAGGGCGCCGCCAGATTCATGGTGAACACCTGGCGTGGCAGGGAAGGAACCACATGGCACGGGGGCGAGACAATGGTAGTCGGGTGAATTGCAGAGCACATTGAGGGAGGTACGATGAGATGAAGGGCGCTGTATGGTGAACAGCTGGCAGGGATGGGGTGGGATGGACCAGGGGTTGAAGGGGAAAACTGGTTGCTGGGAGATTTCAGGGCACTTACATGCTTGACGCTCCTAGAGTTATTGCGTGATGAAAGGCGCATGGAGGATCAACCTCATGCTCTCCACTGGCCGCTTGACTTGTGAGGACCACGCCCCGCCACGGCCATGATGCTCGCGGGCGTCACTTCCGAGTCCACTCACAAGTCAACTTGGCTCACGCTCTTCTGCTCCACTGCATGCTCGGTCACGACTGGGCGCCACAGTGAGCAAGGAAGGAAGACCACTAACCGTTCATTCCCCCTCCATCTTTCCCGTCCCTCACCGTGTTCTTCTCAGCGGCGTGCGTCGCCCCTACCAGGATCATCTGGCAGCACACTCACACTCCGCACTCAGGGTGGAAAAAAGGCCACCAACCAACCCTCAATCTCCCCCCCTTCCACCTGGCCCCAGACCAAACCCTCACCAACGTAATAATTCTGCAGCACATTACGGAAACACAAAAACCACCAACGCTCCATCTCCTCGCCACCTAACCCCAGACGCTCACCTTGTTGTTCTCCGCTGCATGCTTGGCGACGGCCATGATGCTCTCGGGGCTCACGGTGAGGAAGAACCCCGCGATGTAGTAGAACTGCGCCCTCTCCACTGCGCACGCACGATGGGACGAGACAAGGCGCAAACAAAGGACGGTTGAAGTGAGAATCAGTATGGGCGACTGATTGTGCACAAAGGTAACTTGAGCATGGGAAGAGAAATGAATCTGAGCATGAGCCGAGAAATGAATCTGAGTTAGCAGTCGCGAAAGGGCGCGTGATGAGATGAATCTGAGCCTTCTGGGAGAATGGAACGGGGCGAGCCATGGCATCACGGGCGAGTCCGGGAGAAAGAGGATGGGGCATGGCGAAGTACGGGTTTAAGGCTTATCAAAGAAACTTTTCTGCGGTGTGAAAAAACTGCGCTTCCTTCACTGGGAGAAGGCGACAGGGCATGTACTAGGTCTCACCTAGCGCCCAGTTCTCTGGCGCGTGCAGATGATCGACCTTGTAGCAGTTGGCCGCTGCCAGGTTGGCGATCAACGACCTGCGGTACGATGACCAAGAACAATGAAACCGACAAGATTCTCTAACGCAACCTACACTCGCTGGCTTTCCTATAGACAAGACGAGAATCAGAGGCGGGTGTTCCGAGAAAGCAACGCGTGGGTCTTTGCAGGGGCATACATGGGCACTACGCGCTGCCATTGTCATTCTGGAGCATCAGAGATGCACACGCGCTCGTGCAATCGCGCGGCAGAGCACTACGGCATGGACATACCGTTCGCCGCCACGACGGCATGGACATACCGTTCGCCGCCAACAATAAGGACGGCGCACGTGCCAGTTGGCGTGGTGTCGTCCTCCCTATAGTGGACCTGAAACAAGTACAAGATTGAATAACATGAGTACATCGTAAAGTCTGAACGCGCAACCTGATATAGTGAGCGTTCGCACGTCCTGTGAAAGTGCCAACTTTGCTCCTGAGTGCGGCCTGAAAGAGCTTCAAATCGACTCACATTGACTCCCACGGACGTGCAGTTCTTGGTCATCTCCTGCCCGAACTCGTCCCTGCCGATGCACCCCATGTACGACACCGCCTTGGGCGTTTGGAGCATCCACTGAAAAGGGAGAGAGGGAACGACCCCACCGGACGAAAACACGTAGCAGAGGCACATTGGTCCCAAGTGCGGAGGCGTCGACGCAGGGACTTCACGCGACCCTCATTTACGAAAGGGTGAGGACGAGACGGGAGAAAACGGAAGCCATGGTGAGGCAGGAAGGCGGGCGACATGGTGAGGCAGGAAGGCGGAGGTGGGACCTGAGCGACGCGGATGGAGTTCTGCGTGGCGCCGCCCGCGATGTACTCCACGGGGTAATTGTCCTTGAGCTCCGCGTACCTGCCACGCCGCCGCGCATAAAATAAACATTGCAAAAGAAATTACGAAAACACAAGAAAGTGTGAGTTTAGGGGATCAGCGACACGAGATCGGGAAAAAGTGCCATGTGTACATGTCGCCGCGTTTGAAGCTCGCTTCGAAGATCAGCGCATGGATCTGACATGAATCCGCGTCGCATTGAATGAAACGGCATTGACCTCATATGTCCGTTGGCACCGACACTCCCCTCATGCCGGCAGCGACTCACATGGGAACGTGTTTCTCCTCCGCCAGGATGGCGTTGTTGAGCTTCACGTCGTATCTGCTCCAACATGCGCACGTCATGGGGACAATGGCGGCACGTCAGTAGCTGACACACGCACGCACGCATTTCAAACGGAAAAGAGATCGAGATCCCAAAGCGCGAGACGTATAAAACTCGCTAAGACAGTCGAGGCCCACTTGTTGAGAAACGCGTCGTCCACGACCGCTGAGATATCCAGCAGCGGGTTGCCCATTCCGAGAAGAATCCCCTCCTGAGCCATCTTAAACGTCGGATAAAGTCGGAGGTTCCTAAGATCCCCAGGCAGGGTGGAGGCTGCGAAAGACTTCCTGAAAACGGATCGGGCCAGAAGCATAAAATGACTTGTGGAAAGCTGAATACGAAGCTGAGCCGTGAAATTCTCCTCGTGGAGCCTTCCGTGACTAGTGTGGGTCGGACTTGGTTGCCCCGCTTCTGGCAGTGTGGCAGACACCAGTGATCTGCAGACGGTAGATTCCCGCACATCGAGCGGATCCAAATTGGAGAAAATCGACGGCGAAGAGCCTGCGAGGGAGACAAATCTAACCGCTGCGACATACTCGGAGGGAAAAATCCTCCCGCCAAAGGAACAAGGAAACAAGCGGAGACATGTTGCAGCGCGCCTTGGCACGCCAGGAGTTAGCATGGTTGAAAATCCTGATGGAGGGGGACACGGAGCGGAGCAACGCCCTTATTGCGCCTTCCTCTTTCCCCACAATACTCCGAAGGCAGGGTTCGGCGACTGAAACAAACAGTGCACGCACACCAGAGCTACTGTAGAAGGGCAAAACGTGCCTAACGGCGTGTCGTGCAGCCTATAAGGAATTTTCCCTTAGGGCGTGTGTCTTTTGGTGTAGACTTTAGAAATTATGGTCTAACTTTTGCTGGTAAACGACTTCGTTAATTTCGTTTGGGCTACTTGCGAATTTCATGATTTTTGGCGGATAATTCGGAAAACCGTCGGGACACAGATCTGGAGTCAACCTCGCAATCGAACTTGCACGTGCACGGTTATCCAACGTGCGTCCTTCTAGTCATGCGTGATGAAGTTGCGAATTGTGCAACAAACACAGACTACATTCTACCGTGTTACCGAATTCGGATTCGGTCACGAACTACATTCTACTAGCCGGGTAACCTACGAACTTAGGGCGCAACTCGCATGAGTGCTGTACAAGGCATGTGCTAGGATTTATGGCATCCTGAGCTCTTAGGGCAACGCTTGAAAGTGTTAAAGAAAGCTCTAATTTTTTAGGGCAAAACTATATGGCCATCCTGAAGTTTAAGGATATTCGTAGGCCTTATTCTGACATCTCTGTTAATGGGATTGGAGTGTTGGCCCCGCCCTCGCTTGGGCAACGCCGACGACTTGGTCGGATGTATGGGAGAAGCAGCTGACCGTTCACAGTGAAGGTGCTACTCGACAGGCTTCGTCGAGCTGCAAGGGATCATTGTGGTGATGCCCTCGACTAGGAGTGCTCGGCCGCCTTCTTCTGCGTGGCAAGTCGACGAGGTGACTGTCGACCTGCATAGGACTGTCACGGGGCTGGAGCCGTCGACCAGGGAGCTCGACAGTTGCAGTTGACTCGGCTGGACGACGGGTGGGCCGTCGACCACGAGGAGCGGTTCGACCGGGAGGTCGACGGAGCAGTCCGTCGACCTGACAAGTGAGGAGCGGTCGACGAGGGGAGCTCGGCGACAACAGCTGACAATGCTGGTCGACGGAGGGGCCCGTCGATCAGACGGTAGCTTGACGGGAGCTGTGGTCGACTAGAGGAACCTGGTGGTCGACCAGGTCGACCGGGTAACCTTCTCGGCGAGTTCTGCGGGGGCACGCGAACGTCGTCGATGTCGCGGTGACGAAGGCGACTTCGGGCTGGTATCTCGAAGTCGATGTGGCTCGTCAGGCGCAGACAACAGCCGACGGATGCACAACGAAGCAAGTCAGACCAATCGTCTGCGCGCACCTACGAGCGTACTGTCGAAGTGAAAGGCCCCGCCCTCGCTTGGGCGCAGGCATTCTCTGCGACGACGCGGTGAATTCGTCGAAGTGATAGTCGCATTGGATCAGCCCGTCCTCTGAAACCGCGATGGGTTTTTGAGGAGGTGGTCCTCTTACTCACCAGCCCATCAGCGAGCTCTGGTCAACGGGGTGCTGTTCGACGAGCTCGTCCTCTGATCTGCTAGTGAGTCGCGCGATCTCTGACGGACGGGGTGCAGTCCGAAGAGCCTCGTTCTCTGATCGAAGGGCACCGTTAAGCGAGCCTCGTCTCGGCGAACTGGTCAGCCGAATTCGCGCGACTGCGGAACTCTGTGAAGGCATGCGAAATTCGCTCAGGTGGCTCTTAGCGAAATTTCACCTGCGGAATGGCATTACGTGTTCGACGGTGGACACCTGACGAAAGCGTCGGAAGGTTTTTTACCTGGCACATGCGCAATGTCTCTAACGGTGCAACCGTCTACCTGCACCTACTCGGCAGGTGCACACCTGCGCAGATTTTCACCTGCGAATGCAGCGCTGGCAGGCCGCCCTGCTGCAGCGTTGGCGAATCTCTCTGATGCAGTGCTGGCAATTCGCCTTGCAGAATTCTTGCTAGGGGTTCCAATGCCATTCTAGTCAAATCACTTGCATGCCTCTTTTTTGTACTCTAATTCTCAAATTTCAATGTACTTTCAATTTCCTTAGTGGAAACTCTTGCCAAATTTCTCAGTGAATACAGCAAGTAGTAAGAACTCTGATAGAACGCTACTAGAGCGCTACGATCACCCGCACAACTCCGTGCCCTCCTTCGTACTCCACTCCCGTTGTAGGGTGACTCTCCGCATAGTGCGGTGAGCGTGGACCGACCCCGGGTAAGAACCTTCAGATTAGACAACATTTCGCTCTATACCTAAGTCGTTGTAGGCTGGCAACCATCTAGACCGCCGTGGACGACCAAGGAGTCGATGCAGGAGTAGAGGATACTCTGCAAGCGCGGTTGGATGCTGTTCGGGCACGCCACGAGGCTGGCGGGTACGGCGAGGAGGACTTGGAGATTTTGCTCCTTGGAAATCGTGCGCAGTGGGCGCGTGAGCATCCCCCTCCCCGTGCTGAAGCGGACGGCGCGTCCGCCTCTCCCCGACCCGTGCACAACGAAGGTGACGGCGGCAATGTTGTCGGCGGTGGAAGCACGAGGGTTCGCGGAGTGATTCGGGCCGCCGACGTTGGCGTTGGCAGAATGCAGGCGCAAGTGCTGCGGTCGATGGCGGCTGCAAGCAGCTCGAACGGCAACACCGATGGTCGGCGTCATTCTCCTCAGCGGAGTAGAGTCAGGCCGATTTCGGCAAGTCAAGCGTCGGCTGGTCGTGACGGAGGCATCGCGCCGGCGTACGGCTACTTCAAATTTTCGCCGGACAAGATCGATGTGCCGAAGCTGCTTGAAGGACGCCACGATTTAATCACATGGATCAAATCCATAGAGCCGCTATTACAAAGTAAGGAATGAGAATTATTAGAATGAGAACAGTATAGGGTTTGTAAAGCAAAACCTAACAGGGCTGTACCCTATAAGGAGTGCCCCACTACAGCCTAGAGTATAGTTTTGACACACCCCCATAGGCAAAGTGGGGGACAAGCAAGAGAACCAAGCAAGGTCAAGCTCAGGGTGGATCAAAACGTCACCACGCATTCTGAGCACAAGCAAATGGCCACAAGGTCAGTTCACATACAGAGTTATATAAAGGCCAACAAACGATACAGTGATCACAACCTAGCATGTGTAAGCATGCAGTCATATGTGCAAAGATCACAGTACAAGCAAAGTCAAGGAGTAAGCAAGTGAGGCCCAGTGGGCACAAGGCCTAGAACAGTACAGAACCGCTGATGATCACAAGGCTAAAGTGCCTTGGTGAAGATATCAGCAGTGTTGGCCCGAGTGGCCACGTAAGCAAGGCGAAGCTGACCACGCTGCTGCAACTCTCGAGCAAGGAAGTAACGCAGAGCGATATGCTTCGTTCTGTGCTCCAGTCTGTGCTCCTGACACAAGGCAATGGCGGCCTTGTTGTCTACGTACAGAACTGGAGGAGAACGAGGCCGCTCTCCCAAGTCGGTCAGCAGGTAGGTGAGCCAACGTAACTCCTGTGCAGCCATGGCCCTTGCGTAGATCTCAGCCTCACAGCTGGAGCTGAGAACTGAAGACAAGCGGGTAGAACGCCACAAAACAGAGCCGGAGCCAAGGCTGAAAGTGTAACCCTGTGACGACCGCTCCGTAGCCAAGTCATCAGCCCAGGAAGCGTCTGCGTGACCAGTGAGGACAACTCGAGCCCGTCCTCCAAGCACGAGCCCCATGCCTGACGTACTGCACAAGTAGCGCAACACCCTCTTAGCGGCATCCACGTGCTCCTTCCGGTGTCGCCCAGGAGCAACATAGCATGCCAGGATGCTAAGAGGGTATGCCATGTCAGGTCGAGTGCAGGTCATCAGGTACATGAGGCAACCCACAAGCTCTGAATACGGGCC